GGGAGGTCATCATTGGACGATAGGACAGGTAATCATGGCCTAGCCCCCTACCAGCCAGCCTAAGTCAGCAAAGCCATCCAGCATTAAATGCCCCCCATGCTGGCATTTAATTCCCGTCAGGCAATGATTGAGGAAACCTCAAATCGCATTAAATAACCGCCAGACGGGCGCCGAACTGCCCTGCCGGATTACTGTGCGACAAGACCAGTGAACAGTAGCTGAATAGTGCCACATTAAAGACCACTATAAATAGCAGTTCATCTCATTTATTTTGGGTTGTTGAATTCCAACTAACTCCTGCCTTCTCTCTATTTTCTCTCTCTAAACTGTAAGAAGCTCATTGTAAGAACTGTAAGTATATCGCAAGTGCCGACCTCGTACGAGAGGCCGACCTCGTGATCGTCTAATAAAATCATAATTAAACCGGATTATTCTCCCTTTTTTAGTCCTGCTTTCTTTATCTTTTATTTTTAACCGTTGACCGAAAACGCTCGTCAACATCTGTCATTTCATAAACTTTCTTGTATTCCTGAATGTTCTTCTATGAACTGTAAAGAACTTGCTACTATGCCTTGTGATTCTTGTCATTATGCCAGACAGGAAAGACTTCCATATACTGTTAGTACTTCTATAGCTTCTGAACCATTTGACCTTGTGCATTGTGATTTATGGGGGCCATTTTCCATTGCATCTCATTCTGGTCATAAATTCTTCTTAACTCTTGTTGATGATCACAGCAGGGTTACATGGATATATCCTCTCATAAACAAATCAGATACAAAACATTATTTACCACATTTTTACAAAATGATCCTTACTCAGTTTAATAAAAAGATCAAATGCATTAGATCAGATAATAAATCTGAATTCTTTCTGCATGATTTCTTTCACACACATGGCATTATTCATCAAACTTCATGCATTAAAACACCCCAACAAAATGGCAGAGTAGAAAGGAAACATCAACACTTACTTCAAGTAGCTAGAGCCATTCTCTTTCATGCTCATCTTCCTCTGCATTTCTGGGTTGACTGTGTCACTGCTGCAGATCACATCATCAATAGAATTCCATCCATTGTGCATAAAAACATTTCACCATTTGAAAAACTTTATAACAAAGCACCCACACTCAATCATTTAAAAGTCATTGGTTGCTTATGTTATGCATCTACCATCACTGCACATAGAAGTAAATTTGATCATAGAGCATCTAAATGCATACTTCTTGGGTATCCTCTTGGTTGTAAAGGGTATAGACTTTACAATCTAGATACCAAGAAGATAGAAATTTCCAGAAATGTTTCATTTTATGAGCATGTGTTACCTTTCAAACACAAATCTATACTCTCATCCACTTCTGAAATCTTCTTTCCCAAACCACCAGACTTTCCCTACTCAGATCTCACTACTACTTCACCATCACCTCCAACATCTCCTCTGCAAAATCATTCACCTACAACTTCTTTACAGTCTCAAAATTCACCTACTACTCACAACACCCCTCTCACCAACATTCAAACCTTTAATCCTAACCCCACATCTCCACAGGCCATACTCAGAAGATCCTCTAGGATCAGAAAACCTCCATCTTACCTCCAAATATATAATCACTCCTTACCACAATCCTCAAGTTCCAATTCTGCTGCTCATTTTGACAAATCTGGAACACCATATCCAATGCTAAATTACTTATCTACTGCATCATTATCTCATGCCCATGAATGCTTTACTGCTGCTATCACTGTTAACAATGAACCCAAAACATATAAA